ATGGGTGCACTTACCTACATGCAGGCAATACAAACATACACATAAAATAAAAATAATAAAATTTTAAAAAATGGGGAAATGAACACGTATTCCTCTTCTCTCATTTTCTTTTCTGGTCTTAGCTCCTTATTTATTATTTAGATTATCATTTTAAGTGCCCTTTTGAATATTACCAATTCAAATAAATTGTTTTACCTTTGCAAATGAAAAATCATTGTTTTTAGTAAGGACTATAGCAAAATAGCAGACTGGAGAGATGGCTCAGTGACTAAGAGCATTGGTTGCTCTTACAGAGGACCTGGGATGGGTTCCTAGCACCCACACAGTGACTAACAACGGTCTGTAACCCCCATTAGAGAGGATCTGACATCTACTTCTGACCTTCAGGGGCAAGGCACACAAATCGTGCACTTACATAAATGTAGGCAAAACACACACATAAAGATAAATAAAAAATTTTAAGATTATACCAAAATAATACCTGAACAGTTTTACTTTGTTTTATATGAACAATGTACTTTTTTCCCAAAGCATAATTATAAGCAAAATAAGCCCTTTGGTTATTTGAGAGAATTTCAGAAATTTTCAGTTCAGTATAGTCATTATTCTTAAACATCTGTCTCTACAATTGGCATGGCATGGCTAGGCATGGTGGCACATACTTTAAAATCGTAATACTCAGAAGGCAATGGCAAAGGCAGGTAGATATCTGTTAGTTGAGGTCAGCCTGGTCTACATAGCAGATTCCAGGCTAGCCAGAGTTACGTGGTGAGATCTTATTTTTTTTTAAGCCTCCCTTTTAAAAGTCTAAATGGTAGCCACGCATGGTGGTGCATGCCTTTAATCCCAGCAGTTGGAGGCAGGAGCAGGCAGATCTCTGTGAGTTCAAGGCCAGCCTGGTCTACATAGTGAGTTCCAGGACAGCTGGGGCTACAGAAGACCCTGTCTCAAAAAGACAAAAAAAAAGTCTAAATGGCATATCTGTATTTTCACTAAACTTTTGACTCAATTCATTTTTAAATAGGTACAAGATTCACAATATATAATATTTACCAACAGGCCATCATGGATTCTAAATTATGTCTTCCTTTTGCAAGGTTCATACTGAATTTTCAATAATTTCTCCTATTTGCCATACTCTCTTCCAAAATGAAAACTCCTATAGCTTTCTACCTCTGACATAATTACTGCTCATTTCAGATCTCTCTACTTGTAGCTATATGAATACCTTTATAGGAATTTAGATTATTAAATGTTATCACAAGGAACTGGGGATAAAGTATTTGCCTTATATGCACAGGACCCTGAGTTTGAGCCCCAACAACACAAAGACAGACAGAGACAGACTGCTATCACTGTCGTACCTACTTTTCTGTAGCAGCTTGTAGTCTAGTGTGTGGGAACCTAAAGTCCCCACCTTGCAGACGTCCAAGAGGAAGTTACTGGGGCGCGGCCTGACTTATTTTAAAAGTCTGAAGGATACTTCCACACTGCTGAGGAGTGCATGATCAGTGTGTGACCATCCTTAAGATACACCCTCAGCGGGGAGGGGGATTTCCAGATGCCTTTATAAGCTCTGTAACACCTGCAATAAATGAGTCCCTGCTTGACTAGGCTCCCTGTTGCGCCTGACTGTTCCCAGTACTGGGGGCGGCATGGGCTGGCGAACAGTGCGCTTACTCATCCCCAGTCATCACTGCACTGGGGGTTGCTGATTCGAACCCCCCACACTAGCAAGACTACAAACCTATTTATTATATCCAGCAAGGGCAATTTATACTAAATACTCAAAATATTTTTCTTGTTATTCACTCACCCAAATTTTTCTAGACTTTAATACTTTAATGGATTTTTATATAGATATGTTGATGTATACATGTAGAACTATACAATCTCTCTTCAAAATCGGTTTCCCATTGGGTGTGGTGATGCACATCTTTAATCCCGTACTCAAAAGGCAGAGGTAGTAGAGTTTTTTGAGGCCAGCCCAGTCTACCTAACAAGTTCTAGGCCATACAGTGCTACATAGTGAAACATCTGTCTCAAAACAAACAAAAGCAAAGATGTTTCCCCAAAACAAGGTTAGTGCATCTATTGTCAGGTTTTGATCATATGCAATAAAAAAAGTATGACTTGAGTTGTAATAATAGTTTATGGGCTAGGAATGTAGCTTAGTTGAGAGTACTTGCCTAGCATGCAAGAAGCCCTGGGTTCATTCCCACTTGGGAGGTGGAAGCAGGATGATCAAAAGTTCAAGGTCACCTGGGCCTTTAATCCCAGCAGTTGGGAGGCAGAGGCAGGTGGATCTCTGTGAGTTCAAGGCCAGCCTGGTCTACATAGTGAGTTCTAGGCCAGCTGGGGCTACAGGGAGACCCTGTCTCAAAAAGAAAGTTTGGGTGGAGCCCAGTGATAAATTGCTTATCTAGCATGGACAAGGCTGTGAGTTTTTGATCCCCAACACCACAAAAAATAATCACTGAAATAGATGCTTTCCAGACCTCTCAATCTTTCTTCTCTGTCTTCCTTCCTTCCATCTTTTTAAAAATTTTGTAAATTATTTTTATTTTAATGTGTATCACTGTTTTGTCGGAATGTATATAAGTGTATCCATGTCATGCAATGCCTGCAGAGGCCATGGAACTGGAGTTACAGGCAGGTGTTAGCAACCATGTAGGTGCTGGGAACCAAATCCAGGTCCTCTACAAGAGCAGCCTGTGCTCTTAACACTGAACCATCTCTCCAGCCCCCTTCATCTTTTTGTTTCCTTTGATGTGTATGAGTGTTTTGCTTGCATGTATGTAAGGGCACCAAATGTGTACAGTGCCTGCAGAGGCTAGAACAAGGCATCGGATCTCCTGAAACTGGAGTTATGGATGACTGTTAGAACCATGTGGGAACCAAACCCACATCCTCTGGACAGCTAAAGTCTTATATGCTTTCCTTTTTGAAACAGGGTCTTGCTATGTAGCCCTCACAGATCTGATACTAACTATGTAGCCCAAGGTGGCACAGTAATCATGGCAATCCTACCTCAGTCTTCCCAATGCTGGAATTATAAGCGTATACCATCAACACTTAATGTCTTACTAGTTTAGTAGTGTTTTTCTTCCCTTCCTCCCTCCTTTTTCTCCCTCCTTCCCATACATCATTGCATTTCTTAAGGCAGAATCTCATATATAACAGACTAATGTCTAACTCCCTGTATAGCTAAGGATGACCTCAAACTTCTGATCCTCCCACTTACACCTCCTGAGTACACAGATTATATGTATGCATCACCACACCCAGCTTACGCTGTTTAGGGGATCAAACACAAGGCTTCATGCTGAGCTTCAGCTCTAGCTCTTTGTTGTTTGTTTTATTGAGACAGGATATTACTATACAGCCCAGGCTTTGTGGTTGGCTGTTGTTTGGGGTTTTTCTCTGGTTTTTGGTTGTTTTGTTTTTGAGATGGGGTCTCCTGTTGTCTAGGTTGACCTCAAACTTGCAAAGTAGTCACAGCTGGCCTTAACCTCTTTTTTTTCCTCTTATTGAATTTTTACAAATTTCACAAATATATTTTGATCCTATTTAGATCTTCTCTCTTATCTATATCCCTCTTACTACCCCCTGCCCAATATCATGTATTCTA